ATATGATGAACGTGCAACCAAACGCGCCCCCACTTAACAAATGGATGCGCCCTATCAATCAATATTCTGTTCAAATGCATCTGAACCACGATGCAAGACTTAGGGACAAGCCGAAAGCGATCTGGAGTAAAGGACCGCCATATCATTGGTGATTGCCAAGCATCTGTTTTGGGAACAGGACTTCCTTTGGTTCTCAACCAGCATTCACACCTCGTAAATTACATTTAACGAATTTACAGCTCATTAATCTTGTTTCGGTTCTAGTTCTGTTTACAATGAAGAAACGCATGGGAAGATTCATTTGCCTTCTTGTGACGTTACGTATATCAAAGGTTCTGTTTAATTCGCACAGTTGCATTATACACGAGAAATTGAAATGGTCGTTTTAATTTTAGATTTAATACTCAGCTCGTCTTTATACAATTTTATATTCAGTTATAGAGTAATGTAGCGTATTCGCCTCTTATTGACATTCCAAACGTACTGAAGAAATCGAAAGATGGATAATAAACTGTACATGCAGAAATACAGGCAGAGATAAAACGATTAACATTGAAAAGATACGAGATACCCTTTTCTTCTCAAGAAATTCCCAGAAACCTTAACTCGTACTTTATTTAAGAGCTCCTTCAATATCCACAATTTTTGACCCATAACAGACCGAAAAGAAAAGTGTCATACAACATTTTCAGTGCAGAGCTCAAAATCAAGCTTTTAATTTGTCGGCTTTATCAAAAGAGAGTGTGGAAGCCGTGTTTGGTCGGCTTCCAGCTCTTTGATATTGCTCAACTTCACTTGAACGATGTTTTCATATCTCGAACTCAATCTGGCTGAGCTTCCAAATAGACTACAAGTCACAAACTTTACCTGCATGCATACAGCTAGTGGCATCTTTCAATTAAATCTTATGTCTGAAACAGAATACTTTTAAATCGAATGAATGTGTGCATTTTAATAACCAAAGATTAACTTATCCGTTTTTTACACATTTTTTTCGGTCTATTGTCGTGTCTCTGTGTAGTAGGGTAATTTAAGGCAAGTAAGTCTCTGCCCCCGCTAATAAGTCTCCGTTATTTCACTAAAATATTCGTAAGCGCACCCTACACCACTCGAGAAGTTTTTATCTCGTTCCCACAGTGCCCTTGTCACATTAGAAGGAGAAACAGTTTTATTGTTATGAAACGCACAGGAAGTGGCTTTAGTGGCCCGGAAAGCAAAAGCGTAGAAGCGTAGGTGGCAACACGAGACTTATTTGTGTGTTTCCACCCGCCTACCGAGACCTCTTCGTACTTCTTAGGTAAACGGCATGCAGGATACTAGTTAGCAATCTGATAATACCCTCGAGATTTGTATCGCGGGATTGTTAGTGAGGGCGAAGCTCGACTAGATATCATCGTGCATAGGAATCGAATGCAAAAATCTTTGGTTTTAACAAAAATCTAAAGCCTGTTCAAAACTTAACAAAAAAAAAAAACATATATGTTTTCATTTCAGTTTTTTACAACCCCGCATTTTATGTTACTCACTCTTATCACTGTCCATTACTGAATCGACAGCGAGTAGTGTAGCCAATCAGATTGCAGTGTTTGTGATACAACACTAGAAGATTTATACTCATATGGTCTACGCTCCGACGAAGGGCTAACGCTCGAAACGTCAGCTTTTGTAATCGTTACGGTGGCCAATTTAACACCTCAACTTTGTTGATATATCCAAATTATTTGTTTAAATTTGTTTCGTTGATATGACCTGGGATCACCAAATGCTGCAAACAAGCTGTACTACACACCGATGAACATTATGTTATAAAATAAAGCTTAACATTCGAACCCAGACAGATCAATTGGTGTTTCCTGTCACGGTAATTGTTTAGTGCCTTAAGTGAAATAATTGCTTTGGTAACAAATATATAGATAAATAATTACCTTTATGCGAAACTAAAAATCAACTTTTCACTGCTTAACAAGACTAACAGTAAAAATCATAATTGACAATTTCAGAAGAAAATCAATTGTCAACGTAAGGTTATCGGCAGCAACAGACTAAGCCTTTATACTTATGATACTTACAGCCAGGATAATTATCGGATAATTATCCTGGCTGTAGGTATCATAAGTATAAATATCCAAATGAAATCTCTAAATATATCAAAATTTTAAAGAAATTTTAAATATATGACTCCAAGTCCCAGCTAAACATTGACAAGGAACTGGAATAGCTGTTAGAATAAAGCGGCGGTAACTCATTCCATAAAAATGTAATTCTTTGATGAATTAAAAACACTATTGTTTTGTTTTGGTGAGAAAAGTGAATTCCTGATTATGTCATCTGCATGGGAATTTCCCATAAAGCCTTTGGGTTTCATCGCTCATCGATAAGGTTTTTTACAGGGTTAACATTTTTGCAGTTAAGTTTCTACTCTTAGGTTACGCAACATTACGTAACGAAAACGGTTAATAATAAATGCACACAAGTTACTGGCATAATCAACAAATGTACAATCAACAGTAAGCCCGAGTTCTATTCACAGTCCTTTAAAATAAACTCTACACAGTCAAATGTACTTCTTCGATTACCATGTGACTAAAGCTTGGATCAAAGACTAACAGCATATACACGTTGCGAAAGCATCCCAAAGCTGCTCAGTTATTTTAAGACCCTGAATGTCAGTCCACTCTGGGGCTTGAACCCTCGACTTCCCCACGACAATAGTCTAATGACCTCGCTGGAAGAGCGATCTCTAGGCCGATCTACATCTGGGATTTCCTATGCATGATAAATGCTCTCCAACTCTAGTAAAACAACCCAAAACATAACCCTTTCGTTTTGTTTTTCAGCCAGTTTAGAGAACCTCCCTGTTCGTCGGAGACTGTTTTTGCTGAGATCAACAAAGCATAACCTCGTATCTTTGGCGTTTCCCCACTTCACTCCAGAGGGTGGGAAGAACAAAGTTCTCGGGAGCGTAGGAACGAGGTCAAAACAAACCTGTGCCTTGTAAAGAAACTATAGTGCTGCGTCGGTGGGGGTATTGCAAGATAATTCTTTTGATCAACTGTTTTAATGTGAACTGGCTACCGTAGAGAGGTTTTAAAGATGACATTTCGCGCGTTAGCCCTTTATTAAAGCGATAACTACCTTTCACTGCGCAAATTGTATACTTTAAACAGCATTTTCTTTACAAGAGTGCGAGTTATTTTACAGTTTCGTGCTAAAGCTACTAAACCGCAACTAATTTTTGACTGGTGCTTGCCACGTGACGTTTCGCGAGATCACGGCGTGATATAACAAGTTAATTTTCAGTACGATCGAAATAGAGATCTCATTGGATGTCTTGATGAGTATTAATACAGTATCACTTAAAGTAAAGCAACAATAATAAAATTCAAAACAAAGATCCCCGGGACATCAAAGCTTCCTGTTAATTTTTGTCCGACTCGACCGCCAATGCGACCCAATTACTGCCCTCAGCTGAGCACATGTTTGCGAGTTCAGAGCTCTAAGTAGGTAGATGTCACAAGAAAAAGTCCTTTTTCAAAGATTTGTTTAACTTAAGTATAGTGTGTGGACAGGGAATGATGCAGAAAGCAAACAAAAAACGGGAACACTGGCAACGAAAAAGCAACAGTGGTCATGAGTCAGGTGTGACGTATGCCAAGCCAGGCTTGTGCCAACATTTGGAGAACAAAACAGCTTAATCATCAAACAAAGATGCCTCAGAAGAAAACAGTGCTCCTGAAATATACCCGTAGATGAAGGAATTTCGCTCAAAAGGTACTTGCTAATATTTTTTGTTTTTAAACTTGACATACTGACAGAGAGTTGGGTGGAGGTGAAAAACAACCCCCCCCCCCATCTTTGTGCAAATTATTTTAAATTGTGCCGAGATGTTTCCAAAATCTGGAACTAAGTGTAACGAACAATGAGACATAACATAGACTAGGTGAATTTTAACAGCATTTGTTGTGCTATGATAAGTTTATAGACAATGGATTGGTGGAAAAGGTTCTTTTAGGACTTAGCGAAACCTCGACTGCCAGCGCAGTGCATCACTTAAGCCGGAACAGGTCTGCAAAGTCGTACCCGCACGAATATCAGAAAACTTTTAGATTTTCGTTTATTTCTCAAGATTGTTTCCTTACGAGGATTTCAACAGATATCAAATCTTCATGGTGTCTCAAACTGAACCAGCTGACCTATCGCTAATCCTAGAGGAAGATCACTCGACCCGCCATGTTCTTCTAACCTGTGGTAATCCGTTGTCTCTGGCTGTGCGGGACAACAAATTCACTGTAGAAAGCCTCTAACCTGTCATATTTTAACCACAAAGTTGTCTGTTTTCGGACATTTTGACCTTCTCTCTTTAGAACAGTACATTTGTCGGCAAAAAGATCCACCTATACCAAATATTTTGTGTTCGTGATTTATTACACGGCCTGTACTGCATTCCAAATGCATTGAATTCCGAACGCAACACATGCGGCATGCAAGCTTCGGTTTCCTTTATTTTGATGTAGAAAAGCATAGCTTTCGAATTAAATCAGTTGTTTTACCGATGAATTTAGTTTAAATTTAACTTTAGTCTTCGAGTCTCGAATCTCTCTTTCAGGGTTTAAAAATCATACCTGAACTCCTCAGTTGCGCTGTTGGCTGTTGTTTGATTTCATCAATTATAAATAGGATAAGTGCTACTGACTATTGTAAGCCTTACTAACTCAGCAATACACTTTCAAGTCCTCTTCTACTTCACTCAAACTTCTACGGAAGCTCTAAATCTCGCCCCTTAGCAATTCAGACTGGCTTAATTTGAAAGCAACAACACAAAGTGAAACTATCAAACACGACCATAACTATATGGTTCACGGCTCCGACCAAGAAACACCTTACTCTACACCTTTCTCGTTGTTATTGCAAGCCGGATGCAATCGTTGTTTCGTGGATTTTCAAGTTCTTCCAAAACAAATTGTCAAAGTGTTTCACACTTTAAAAATAGCTCCACAAGCTAACCTCAGCAAATTTGTTTAGCTTCAGCGAACCCGTTTCCTTCCGTGAGAACTTGAATTCCAAAACGTGTTAGAATGGTTAGGGGTTTAAACTAAACTCTTCGCATTAATTCAAACTTGTATAGAAAAGAAGGTTAAACGTTAACATCAGAATGAAATATTTCTCGTCCATAAAATTGAAGATGTTTTCAGCGAAAATGAAGAAAGCATCCATGTTAGTCGTATACCGCGGGGCATTCGTTTAAAGTAATGTACGATTTGCCCCTAACATGAGTTTTCTAAGTTTTACGCCATTACTATGATTGATACTTTAAAATCTCTTACTGTAGGTGCAGCACAAGGAAAAGATGATAAAAAGCTCAATCGAATCATCTACAGCACAAAACAACTGGTAGAATTGGAGAAGGAGTTTCATTTGAACAGATACCTTTGTAGAACGCGAAGAATTGAAATTGCTTTATCTCTTGGCCTCACCGAGAAGCAAGTCAGAGTTTGGTTCCAAAATCGTCGAATGAAATGGAAAAAAGAGAGTGAGTTTGTAGAAAAGGCTCTGGAAAATGAAATTCAGAAACGATTGAAACACCTTAGTGCCCAAAATAGAAAAGGCTTCAGCAGTTTATCAAACGCAAGAATCACCTCTCATTCAAATCCCTCTACATACCATAACTCGATGGACTCTTTCCACCTTCAAATGCGCAGCGATAATCACTCCATCCCGGAGGAAAACTGTAGTACAGGTTGTATTTCTATGCCACAAGCAATCTGGAGCCAAGGAACATGTCAGCATTTCGACAATCACTAATTGAAGTTTACACTCTTACCTTGCAATGTGTTCCATGGTGGTTTCCACTTAAATTCCCTATCTTACCGACCAAGCGTCAGAATTCACACTTTGTAAATCACAATTATAACGTACTTTACAGCTCATTTATATTACAGTTTTCTTCCTCAATAGCCTTTTAAAATGAGTCTTGGTTGGCTCGAAAGTAATAACGATGTATAATCATGTGATTTCGGTTCGATTCAACTTGAGTAGCAAGATTTTTAAGGGGAACTGGAGGCTCTGAGACGGTCACGTTCATATTTTGAAATATTCTAACTAGCCATTCGTAATAAGCTGGCCTATAATTAAAAAAAGGTTTAGCAGAATGATGACAAAGAGAAACTGAAGTTATTACTTAGCCATTCTATGACTGAATGCCTCGATGATGCACGTAACTTGCGAAAAATCGTCGAAAACAGTTTGATTTGTTCTTGAAGACTATGTCTATTAACAGTTAGTCATTGAAGATAAGAGGGAAATATAGTAGTTGTTACTAGTGTAAACAAATAGAGTATTTTACTTAATAATAGGCAAATTATGAGCTAAAACTCGACGCCATTGAAAGGTCAACGCAAATTTCAAATGATCGTAATTCGATATAAATCGGACTACTGAAACAATAAACCGTTGATTAATATAGTTATTTTTGTTATCTCTTAAATTGTAGTCTACTTTTAGGCTTCTGACAGGACCACCCTGATTTTTTACTGGTGGTTAGTTTTTAGTAAAGAATTATCTAATCATTTTCAGTTGCAGAGGTTAAAGATTTACGCTCTAAAAGTTTAACCCATCTAAGAAGAGCCTTAAAATCAGCCCTTTTGTGCATGCTGTGTCTAACAGGATCCGCAAAGCAATTGAATCTGACACGAAAAGCTAAGGTTTCAAATTAATGGTTCGCTTTCAGTTTGAACAATGTTATCTTTCAACTCTTCACAATATCATCTTTCTTCGAAACTACCGAGTGGTGGTTTCATCAATATCAAATTCAATAAAATTACTTTCGTGATTTATGATATCGCATAATTATATTAAATCTGTCCGACGAGTGCGAAAGCGCGAAACTCAGAGTTACAGGGAATCATGTGTGTTTTATTTCAGTCAGTTTGAATTGTATTTCGCTCTACATTCTAGCAGCATTTACGACAATTTCCCACAATTATATTACATTTTTATATTGTATTTAAAATATCATACTGCGCTACATAATATGATATCACTCTATATCACTTTATATTTATGATATCGCATAATTGTGTATTATATTTTAATATCGTATTTAAAAATATCATACTGCGCTGCATAATATCATATCACTCTTAATCACATCAACGCTATTCTATAATATTTATTCTATTGTAATATATCACGCGGCATCATATTATATATTAGTATAATTTCAGAGCTGAGCAGAGTTTCCAACAATCTGATTGGTCGAGCGGTTCGTTATATGACGCTAGACAAACCGCTCCACGCGGTTTATATAAAATGTTAAAATAAAATGTTAATAAATGCTACTAAAATGTTATGATTTTCGAAATTTCTCTGTTGTTCAGCTCTGAAAATATACTAAAAAACAATTATTCGTCTCAGGTTCGATGAATATTGTCGAATAATCCCC